AGAGTAGCGGTTAGAGCATCCGCCTCGCAAGCAAGAGGACCTGGGTTCGATTCCCAACAGGGCGAAACATAGTAAGTTTTCCTACTCCACGTGCCTCTGCTGTCTAGCAGTAAGTAGGAACCCGGTTGTTAGTCGATTGGCGGATCGTGTTTCCAAGGGCAATAATCCCTCAAAAAAAAATGGTTACTCAATCCATGACCGTTGTGGGGACGCTGCTGTGTGCAATTGGCTGCCGCATTTCACTCACAATACACAGTCAATCCACTTTACAGTGTATTCTGTGAAGCGCTTTGAGACGTCTAGTCGATGTGATAAGGCGTTATACCAAATGCAAGGATTATTATTATTAGCATTACTACATCAGATGTGAGGATGATTATTATAATCCTCTTTACCACCACCTGATCAGGGCTTGACACGTGCTGTGGCTTAAGACTACCGTGGCATCAGTGACCACCACTTCTCTTTGACCGAGCCTTCAGCTCCCCTCTCGACTCTCTTCCCCCTCCTCGCTCCCTCCCTTCCCTCCCCTCACCCTGACCATTTCCCCCCTCCTCGCTCCCTCCCTTCCCTCCCCTCACCCTGACCATTCCCCCCCCGGCTCGGGTCATGACCCAACTGTGCAGCGCCTTGGGACGTCCTCCTGACGTGAAAGGCGCTTTATAAATGGAATCTTGTTGTTGTTGTTGCTCCGGCAGGGCAGTGTGTAAACACTGCATTATGTCCATATTGAAAGTAAAGTTGAATACCCTGCCTCAAGCGTGCAAAACACTGCAGACCCTGGAAATCTGAAGCCGCTGGGAACACTCAGTAGGTCAGGCAGCAACTTTGACTCACTTTCCTCTCTTCATAGATGCTGCCTGACCTGCTGAGCGTTCCCAGCGACTTCCGTGGAAAAACTAACTTTTTTTCCCATCTGTGTTTTCCGAGGTTTTGCCACTGTGTCAACCATCGTTCACTCTATCAGCAGGGTTTACTTACGTTCGTAATTCATTCATCTGAAAGTGCAAGTGCCTCACCAGAGGTGTTACCAAAACAGACAAATAAATGACAAGCAGAGGAAATAGTATCACCAAATAGTTTACATTTGATTCATTTCAGCGCCTTGGGATGTCATCCCAACATGAAAAGCGCTATAATAAATGCAATTTGTTGCTGTTGATTCATCAAGATTTAGGGGTAGTATGCAGACAACAGAATTGCTGAACCAATTCATATATATTTCGCCCCCAAATATACAGTCAATTCACTTTACAGTCTATTCTGTCAAGCGCTTTGAGATGTCGAGAAGACGTGAAAAGCGCTATATAAACTGCAAGGATTATTATTATTATTATTTATTATATTATATTTACATTTATATAAAGGGTGGGGAGGGGAAAAGATAACCAAAATCAATGGTCAAGGATGGAAGGGTTGAGACGGGCTTTGAAAATAATAATAATAATAATCCTTGCATTTGATATAGCACCTTATCCTGTCTTTGAGGTGTCTCAAAGCGCTTCACAGAATTTACTGTGAAGTGAATTGACTGCATATTTGTGGGTGAATCATGGCAACCAATTGTGCACAGTAGTGTCTCACAAACAATCGTGAATTGATTGACCAAATTATTATTTATTTTCGCTTTTTTTGAAGGGATTGTTATCCCCAGAAAAGCGATCTGCCAATTGACTAACAACTAGGTTCCTACTTACTGTTAGGTAAACAGAGGCGTGTGGAGTAAGGAAACTTGACCTACATTTTACCTTATCGGGAATCGCATGTGAGGCAAGTACTCTAACACGAAGCTACAGGGTCTACACATGAAATGAAGGTATTGTTGAACTTCACCTGTAGCCATCACAGAAACAAAGACAAGGGACGTTTCAGGCAACTTCTGCACTGTTTTTATGAGACTAATGAGGGCACCTAAGAAGAACAAAATAGGTCAATCCATTGACTTCCCTGAATAGGCGAGTTTCAAAACTTGGACAAAGATAGTTGAACATTTTGTTGGCAAGAGACCGTTTTTCAAAAGGAATAGGAACTTACATAGTTTCCTTTGGTGGTTTGTATTCGTAAACACATATATTTGCAACATCCACCAGTGATGGATTTCATCTTTTTTATATTGTGAAATAACGGGACACGAGGCAGTTACGCTCACACTGACATTCTTGAAATGAATGCGGTTCAGAAAGTAGGCAGTTGAGAGGCCTGTCAAGTAAAAGTTTACATCATAAATTGCTTTTATTAACTTATACACCATTTTCTGAATTCTTAGGAACATGTCTCGATTCTGTCAAAGGTAAATAACAACAAATTACATTGACACAGCGCCTTTCACGCCGGGAGGATGTCCAAAGATGCTGGACAGTCAGGTATTTGGACCCGAGCTGGAGGCTGGGATCAGGAGAGGTGGAGTGCAGGAAGGGTAGAGGAAGGAGGGTGACCAAAGGCACGGTCGAAGAGGAGGGTCTTGAGATGGGCGTTGAAGGAGGCAAGGAAGCGAGCAAGGCAAAGGGACTGTGGGATGGAGTTCCAAAGGGTGTGGGGCAGGGAGGCCAAACGCCCGATCACCGATGGTCCAAGCAGGGCGGGGGACATGGAGCAGGCCGGTGTCCGCTAAGTGCGGAAGCGGATAGGATCTGCAGCTTATTGAGGGAAGAGTTAGGAAAGCCGACAAGCAGAGACTTGGCGTAGTCAAGCCTAGATGTAATGAATGCATGGATGAGGGTCTCGGTATCCTGAGGGGAGAGGCAGTGGCGAGGTAGGCAATGTTGCGGAGGTGGGGGAAATACAGAGTCATGGTACAGATGTGGGGTAGAACGGACACTTGAGGGTCAAGCAAGCCCAAAACAATTTATTACAATTTATTGTAATAGTTAATAAATATATTAAATAGTTCATATTAATACCACGAGAAGAAATAAAACCAGAAGAAAAAGCAAAATAGGTGAAAACCTATCTTATATCACAGAGTTACCTCTTTGTTTCTGTCTATTCTCACAGCCAAGCAAGTCATACAAATTACATACATGGCAATTGCCCAGCAAGAATCAGTGCGTTTCAAATCCACACCCATAACTATGTTTACTGGGACAATACTGGAATGTATAACATGAAGAAGGAAACTTGGAATAATACTTCAGAACAAGATGTCAAAATTAATTTAATTTTAAACATTATTCTAAGTTTTGATAGAATCCAATCTGCAAAGAGTTTGAATTCTGGGCGCTGTTCTGATATATGTATGTGCTACTCAGACAGTGATGTGGCTTCGGCGGAAGTTCAGTTCATGGCTTTAATAGATTCCAAAGAGAAAACCAGGCAGAAAAAAAATGGTCACAGCATTCCAGCAGCATGACCACTGTATTTAATATATTTTCTTGGTAAGAAAAGCTGGTGGGGATCATTTCATTACAACGGTATAATAAAAATGTTATTTGGTTCCAAGATGAAGATAAAATGCCCGCACTGAAGTGGTGTTAGAGGTTCTGGATTTCACTGTGATACAGGTCCCAAACTACAACATGTTCCTCAAGCACTAATGTCAATACTATAACAGTGCAATTAAACAAATCTAATTAGCCCATTCACATAGGTAGCTTAAAATTGATCACGAACCACATGAGTTAATCATCATAAATGATCCTCGGAGAGTTTGGCTTAAGAATGAAAATCCAATTTGTCTCAATACCTAAATCTATTTTTGGAATGCTATTTTTCTGAACTGATTTTTGAAACCATATTTGGAGACCTTTATACAGGTTAGTTGAGTTTAGCTGCTAGTTTACATTGAGATACTTTTAGTGATCAGACATTCAATTTGCTATTGCAGTATTCATACTTGATTGCAAACCTACAGATACCAGAAATACTTCACACAGATATTGCGTTATCTGTGTGCGATTGGCTGCCGCGTTTCGCCCACAAAATATGCAGTCAATTAATTTTACTGTATATTCTGTGAAATGCTTTGAGACATCTTGAAGACGTGATAGGACGCTATATCAAATGCAAGGATTATTATTCTTATAAAAGGCTAAAACAAAGAAGACCATTATCCAAATGTCCATGTCTGTAATTCTACAGGTATCAGTTCAGGACACAACATTCGTCACGTCCTGTGAACAGCTCCTTTGTCATTTTAATGCTGCTGACATCTTATCACCAGGATCACTATATATAAATCACATGACATGCTTGACATGATGTTTTAGTTGCCCATCTTGGTGAAGTGGTTTATACATGGGGGTACAATTCATCTGTAATTAGAAACCGTGTTGGAGATGGTATATATGAGCTGTGCCATGCTGTCAGAAATGCTCAACATAGTTAGGATACTGCAGCCTGCCTCCATGCCACAAACTACATCACTCCCAGCTGCAGCTTAATTTTCTGTGACTTGTCTAATTACTGTAATTAAACATTAATTGCCATTAATTATTCACACATAAGCTAGTCGCAAGTCAAGTGGTAAAAGCCAGATGAAATCTGCCGTACAACTTACATGTGAACACTCTGCACTGTTCGATGTTGGCAGGTCAATGGGTTCACCCATCGTGGAACACAAGCCGAGACCCCTCAAAATCCTCCGGGCTCTGGCACTGGAGCCAACAGTGACAGGAAAACCACGGACAGAGGCTTCCGATTACCATCAGCTCTTCCCAACTGGGTCTGTAGGCTCTCCATTAAAGTCCAAAGCAACAGTTTTAGAAATGCCTTATAAAGTAGGCAGCAGTAACGGACAAAAAAAATACAGAAAAATCTGCAACAATTCAGCAAACACAGTCGTTTATTTTGCGGGGACACTGTATGTACTGTTTAACAATAAATCTAACTATAAATGCTTGGGCAGCGGCGCTTTGCCAAAAATAACCTAATTCACTCCAGACGTTTTCAACTCCATTCCAGGCTGCGAACGTGAGCAGGCACCATCGACAAACGGAGAACACAAAAGGTTATGTCTCCTAACGGGTGCTACAACTACCGCATCACACGTGAATTCTTGATGGGGTCCTGTAGCTCAGTGGTTAGAGCACTCGCTTTCCAAGCGAGAGACCTGATTTCAATCCCCGGGGGGGTCAGGGCCAAACCTCGGGCAAGTTTCCTTACTCCACACAGAGCCTAATAATAATCCCTCCAAAGCCAAAAACAATAATAAATCGGTCATTTTCAATCCACGACTGTTTGTGGGACATTGCTGTGCGCCATTGGCTGCCGCGTTCGCCCACAAATATACAGTGAATTCACTTTACAGTGTGTTCTGTGAAGCGCTTTGGGACGTCCTCCCGACGTGAAAAGCGCTATATCAAAATGCAAGGATTATTATTATTATTATTATTTATTAACGAATGAACTTGAAAGCTCCAGCAATGAACAAAAACTTTTGAAAGAAAAAGCACTCGAGAATTTAGCGTTTTTTTTAAAAAAAAAGGTCAAGACTCTGTGACAAGTAGCTGTGCTACGGGGCTCAGAAAGAGCGGTGACCTTACGGAGACCGCATTCCTAGCCGTGGTGGTCCAAAGGTAATATATGCTCACAGCTTCTGGTGACTGATAACTTACAAATGTTTAAGGTGGCTTTGATTTGGCCAAATCTTGAAGCCTTTGTTGTTCTTCTCTATCTGACGAATGCAAATCAGACACCCAGAGGTCCAATTCGGGCATTATCGTGCTGCAGGCTTTTGTTAAATGTTTAGCTTTCGCAAAAACAATTCAAGTCCCAAACAACGGGGTGATTAATCCAAGTCTTCCGAGGAGTCTCGCTGTTAAAAATTAGATTTCCTAGAATGAGAACATTTAAATTCAAACCTGCCCTGGGTCAAAAACGAAAACAAATGAGCAATGTGATTTTTAGAGATAATAAAAATAATCCCTGCATTCGATATAGTGCCTTATCGTGTTGTTGAGGTGTCCCAAAGCTCTTCACGGAAAATACCGTCGATTGTATTTTATGGGCGAAATGTAGCAGCCAATTGTGCACAGCGGTGTCCCACAAACAGTTGTGGAGTGAGTGATCAAAGTATTATGATTCTTTTTGAAATAATAATAAACACATAATAAATAAATAATTCAAGATCATCACTTGAACCCCGCAAATATCAGAAGCTAGGACCAGCCGACCCGTTATAGCTTTGACTTGGGGACCATTGGGTACAGTATGGGATAGACTTATAGTAATAATAATAATAATAATAATCCTTACATTTGATATAGCGCTTTTCACGTCGAGAGGACGTCCCAAAGCGCTTCACAGAACACACTGTAAAGTGAATTGACTGTATATTTGTGGGCGAACGCGGCAGCCAATGGCGCACAGCAATGTCCCACAAACAGTCGTAGATTGAAAATGACCAATTTATTATTGTTTTGGGTGTGAAGGAGGAGGGAGTGAGCTATGCTCAGGAGCACAGGAGATGGACACCTAAACTGTGCCTTCGAGCTTGTAAGTTACTTTGTTTTTCAGCACAACCAAAGTTTGGAAAGAGCCCCCTCCCCTCCCTCTCCGCCTCTCCCACGCAACCCTAAAATAATAAAAATAATAATAATTTGGCCGCTCAATCCACGACTGCTGTGTGCAATTGGCTGCTGTGGTTCACCCACAAAATACAGTTAATTCACTTTACAGTGTATTCTGTGAAAAGCTTTGAGACGTCTCAAAGGCGTGTCAAGGCTCTGTATCAAATGCAAGGATTATTATTATTATATTGGTCATGCAGTTGTTTGTTCCAATTGATGTTGTGCGGCACAGTCCTGGATCTGTACAGCTGGCTGGAAGCCCTGTGCCGAAGTCACATATTCTGTGCGTTGCTCTCTCTCATCATGTGCTACACACACCATATTTACAAAAAGACAGCCTTTCATTAATGTATGAAAGCATTGCTTTGAACATTTTCTCCATAGGTTGGTGTGCCAGCTTCATGTTATGCAAACACTGAAATGTTAACCAGGGAGAGCACTAAATCACACCCACTGTTGGTTGTCCAAGTCGAGCGAATTTTGCTTCACGCTAAAGAAATGGCAAATCCCCAAAATACAATACGGAGAGCACATTTCAAACAGAGAAATTGCTTGAACTCATAGATAACTGTGTTTATAGGTAATAGCATACTGTGGGTTATAATTCAGTAGCAATTAACAAGCAGGATGTTGTCAGAGCTAACAGAATTCCGTTGTGAGCGAGGACTGAAGCCGAACATAGAAAATACTGCAGACAAATAAGATTGCGAAGTTCACCTACAAAATATAGTCACTACACTTTACAGTAAATCCTGTGAAGTGCTTTGAGACATCCTCCAACTCCATATCAAATGCACAGATTTATTTATTACAAGGTTTGAAGAGTGACAAGATTAATGGTTGAATTACTACAGCTCAATTGTCAAGATACGGTTTCCTGGCAATGAATAACAATAAGCATTTACAAAATATGTTAAGTCTAATTTCAGTCAATTCCATTGTAAAATTGAAATATTTTGTCTCACAACCTGGGTTTTAAGACTAAAGGCTAGATTCTCTTGATGTGAATATTTATTTTAAGAAATAATACCATTACCCAACATGAAATATGTGCAAGAATGTATCATTAGGTTTCATTAACGTACTGTATTGGGACATGACATTCGATTACTTTTTATAGTGATTTGAGCTTTTGCGGTTGAAGGCTTGCGTTAGTTTATACAAAGAGATAATATTGTATTATAATCGTACATGAAGTGTTGTTCGTGGAGTCCTGTAGCGTAATGGTTAAAGCACTCGCCTTGCAAGCGAGTGGACCTGGGTTTGATTCATGATCAGGGCGAAACGTTAGGCAAGTTTCCTTACTCCACACCCCTCTTTTTACCCAGCAATAAGTAGGAACACGGTTTTAATTGGATTGGCACATCTCTTTTCCGGGGATAATAATTTTTTAATAAGCTTTGAGACATCTTGAAGACGTGACATCTTCAGCCTCTCAGCCCCGAGGCTCTGGAACTCCATCCCCCAGTGCCTTCGCCGCTTCCTCCCTTTCCTTCTTCAAGGCCGGTCTCAAGACCTTTCTCTTTGACCGAGCCTTCAGCTCCCCTCTCGACTCTCTACCCCCTCCTCGCACCCTCCCTTCCCTCCCCTCACCCTGACCATTTCCCCCCTCCTCGCTCCCTCCCTTCCTCCCTTCACCCTGACCATTTCCCCCAATGCTCGGATCCTGACCCAACTGTCCAGGGCCTTGGGACGTCCTCCCGACGTGAAAGGCGCTCTATAAATGGAATCTTGTTGCTGTTGTTGTGATAAGGCGCTATATCAAATGCATGGATTATTATTGTTATTACGTGCAAGAATATATATCACATTGAATCACTATAGCATAAGATATCAGCTGATTTTTCTGGTAAACGTAGATTGACTTCAGGAGAATGTCACTCTCGTCTATAGTTACTATGAGCAATAAACAACAAAAAATTACATTTGTATAGAACCTGTGGAGTCCTGTAGCTCAGTGGTTAGAGCACTCGCTTTGCAAGTGAGAAACCTGAGTTCAATTCCAGGCAGAGGGCGAAACCTCGGGCAAGTTTCCTTACTCCACACAGAGCCTAATAATAATCCCTCCAAAAAACCAAAAACAATAATAAATTGGTCATTTTCAATCTACGACTGTTTGTGGGACATTGCTGTGCGCAATTGGCTGCCGCGTTCGCCCACAAACATACAGTCAATTCACTTTACAGTGTGTTCTGTGAAGCGCTTTGGGACGTCCTCCCGACGTGAAAAGCGCTATATCAAATGCAAGGAATATTATTATTATTATTATTATTAACCTTTCGCATTGGAAGGACATCCCAAGGCCCTAATAAAGGAATATTTGCCCAGAAACAGATTTCATCTGATGAAAATCCATCTGATTTCTTAGGTTTTGAACCAAACCATGGTAGCGAGCCAAGTTCTGAAAGAAATCTGGAAACGCCTGTGGATATTTAATAGGATGCAGTATCACAACCGGTTGGAATGTAGAACAGGGATGTATTCAGTACTGCTGCAGTTCTCAAGTATCTTTGCTGTCTGATAGACAAAGAAATCCCAAGTTGAGAACATCTTAATATACTATGTCCTTTTCCAGAAGGGTTTTCATATTCCTCTCAAGGTTTATGGTTCAGGCAATACAACAGCACTGTGCACTACCAGGATGTGGTGTTACAGAATGCAGCGATACAAGTTCATCTCCCCTACTCTCAGAGTGCTGTGCGGTACGCTACTCAGCAGCTGTGTCAGAGTGCCAGGCGGCACCCAAAAGGGAGGTAAGTCACCACCAGGTCTTAACTTTGGGCAAGACGAATGGCCTCCCGATGAGGCCAAACTGGGCGCTGGGGGGGTGGGGAAGAGGGAAAATGCCACAATCCATTTTCAGTTAAAAATAGCACCATTATGTTCATTCCAGATCCAGCTGAGTCCTTGAGGGTTTACTGTCAACTCTACTGTTAGTGATGCTCCACATACAATAATAATCCTTGCATTTGATAGTATTATATATAACTATATATATATAATAAATACAATCTAATTGTAACATTGTAAGAGATCATACAAAACACATATATATATATATATAGGGACACTGGTTTGCATCCATCATTTCCGCACAAAATAAGATCCAGATTTCAATCATTCCATGGTGGGTAGTTGTCAAATAAAAGTGGAGTGACAAAATCCGTTGGCCAACTAACACAACTTGTGTTTACATAGCATCCCAGAGCACTTAACAGTGGTGGAGCACGATGCCGAGCTGCAGGGAGGTAACCATAGGCATAGTCGAAGAGAAAGGCCTTCAGGCGCGACCTGAAGATAATAATAATAATAACCCTTGCATTTGATTTTGCACCTAATCACGTCTTTGAGGTGTCTCAAGGCGCTTCACAGAATATACTGTAAAGTGAATTGACTGTATATTCTGTGGGCGAAACGCGGCGGCCAATTACACACAGCAGCGTCCCACAAACAGTTGTGGATTGAGTGACTAAATTATTATTTTTTTGAAAGGATTATGACCCCCGGAAAAGCGATCTGCCAATCAACTAACATCTGGATTCCTCCTTACTGTTAGGTAAACAGAG